TATGTGGTTCAGAGTTCTGGGACCATCCCCTGAGCCTGCTTGGTCGGGTATTCTGTGTTGTTGTTGGCGGAGCTCTCTGCTACACGTCTACCCAATCCGCCATCTTTCTGATTTGTTTTTAAATAACCAGTCCTGATGTAGAATTCTGAGTGTCATGAAACATTAATTATGATCCCACTCATGGTGGGCAAGGCTCAGTTTGCTGAAAAATATTACAGATAATTTTTTTTGTTTGGCATATTTTTCTGTCAATTAGAGGAGTCCTGGTCTAGCACTGTGGTTTAATGTGCTAGACAGCAAGGTTGGTTTGAACTGCAAGGTCAGTCGTTCAAGCTCACCTGCCACTCCTTGGAAACCCTATACAGGGTTGCTATGAGTTGGAAGCGTCTCATCAACACTTAACAACAAGAACAATTTATTTAGGAGTTGTCGTTGTTAGGTGCCATTGAGTCGGACTCATAGCGACCTTATGCACAGCAGAACGAAAGGTTTTTAATATGAAGAATGTTAAGCATATACAAAGTAAATAAAATGATATGATGAATCCCTTTAAACCTGTCACCTACCTTCTGCCATTATTAATATTTTGCTGCTGCTCATGTGTCTTCTACAGTTCTACTCATGCTTCATCTCCCACTTGGTGATGGTGGACTCCTGCTTGGATTAGATCGCTAGGTCTGTTTCCCACAGAGACACTGGGTGTGTTCCAAACACCAGCCATAGTGCCGTCAGGGCTCCTTTCCATTAACCTTTAATGTTTCAAACTTCTTAGAAAACTAGTGTTAAGTGCTGTCAAGTCGGTCCTGACTCATACTGACTTTTTATAGGGCTTCCAAGGAGTACCTTGTGGTTAACAGTCCAGTGCTTATCCTGCAGTGCCACACTAGGACCCGTGATACCTAATACTAATTCTTGTTTTTGTTAGAAGTTAAATTAAATAAAATGTAATGATACTATTATGAATGACAAAAATACTCCTCAAAAAATCATTTCACTAATGAGTAATAAAGGAGCTCTGGTAGCGTAGTGGTTACGAATTGGGCTGCGAACCTTAAGGTCAGCGGTTCAAAACTACCAGCCGCTCTGTGGGAGAAAGATGAGGCTTTCTACTCCTGTAAAGATTTACACCCTTGGAAACCCTGTACAGGGTCGCTATGGGTCGGAACCGACTCAGTGGCACTTAACAACAACAACGAGTAGTGCTTCTTTTTCTTTCTCATTTTCTTTTTCAGAAATGAGCCCTTGAGTCCTGAGTTAGTTGCAGCTGCATCAGCTGTTGCAGAGTCTCTCCCTTTTGACAAGCAGGCGACTAAATCAGAGCTGCTCAGGCAACTCCGACAGCATGAGGAAGCCTCGAGGGCACAGAAGAATGGAGAGAGACAGAAAGTTAGGTTAGTGCATCGAGTAATGCTTATGACATAAAATAGGCTATTTTCATCTGTCTGGTGAGTAATACATAGGTAATGTAGAATGAAAGTGATAATAAAGTCAAAAAAGATTCTAACCAATGGAATGGTTAAACTGTCCTTTTAGAATATCATGTAATTTCTTATTTTTCCTGAAAAAAAAAAATAAGTGGTGAAGTCAATAATATTAAAAATAAATGCACAGATAGGAAGTAGACAAAGAATAAGATCTTGTAAAACATGGGTGGGGGAGATGTCTGACCTCCTCCTCTCTTAAAGAGGAAGGAGAGCATTCACCAGTATCAGCCCAAAGCCAGTTTTTAAGAGGCTGAGGTAGATGTGCCTCCACCCTCCAACCTTTATCAATTCTGATAACCAACAATCCTCCCACCGCGCTTTCCCCTTCTCAGCTGGGTTCAATAATTCATTGTACCCAGAGCTCACAAACCATACGCAATGATTATATCATTTATTAGGGACTTTAACAGGGTCTTTTTCAGGATACTTTTATGAATGACAAAAAAATGTTCCTCAAAAAATCATTTCACTAATGAGTACTAAGTAGTGCTTCTCTTTCTTTCTCATTTTCTTTTTCCTGGCCCATGGAACAAGTAAAACTGAGCACCTTGGGGCAAGAGGCTCTCTTGTGGAGTGGGACTCCTCCAGGCACTTAATTGGGGTATCTGTGTGTAATGACCCACAGAGCTAGAGACAAGTGCTTTCAGGCTGAGGCTGATAATGGAGTGGAATGCCCTTTGAGCATTTATCAGCATCCCTAACTGAGCTTGTAACATTGCCAGAGAGCAGGGAAAAGGCCAGGACAAAGGATCGAGGGCCAGAGAGAGATGTGCCTGTAGGCACAGCTGAGAAAAGGGGCTGCAGACCTAAGACCATATAAAAATGGAATTCTCCATGAACTTTATAAGCTTCCTTATAACTTGCTGATTTTGTTCATGGTATGATAGTCTTCAGGCCTATATCCTTTTTTCCCCTCTTAGTCTTTTGCTGGAGCTAAACTCATTCCACTCAGATGTTCTTCTCATGCTTTATGCCAGGTTGTTCTAGTTGCTGCTGAAATGAAGTAAGTGGTGTAGCTACTTTACTTTGCCTTAAGGGCTAATGGAAGTCAGTCGCTCTTAATAAGGGCATACACCAGCTATATCTTGGGAAATTAAGAGAAAAATACAAATGTCTCTCTTACCAGTTAAATGAGCCATTTAATTTGTGTTTGAACAGATAGAGGGCAATAAATAAATATGGCTAAGCAGCCACCTGAGGTGCAGCTATTGATCTCTCTCCATCTGGAGTAAAGGACCTAAAGAAAATCAAAGAAACAAAGAACTAATGAACCACATGAACTCCAGCCACCTCAATCCTGAGACTAGTTGTTCAGTGCCATAGAGTCGGTTCCAACTCATAACCCTGTATAGGGTTTCTCAGGAGTGTCTGGTGAGTATGAACCACCAACTTTGTGGTTCAAACTGACTTTGCAGTTTAGTACTTAACCTTGTTAAGTGCCGTTGAGTTGGTTCCAACTCATAGTGACCCTGTATAAGGTTTTCAAGGAGCAGCTAGTAGGTTTGAACTGCCAACCCTATGGTTTTCCCACAGCACCAC